GTACCTGTGTGTCTATATGTACCTGTGTCTATATTGTACCTGTGTGTCTATATGTACCTGTGTGTCTATATGTACCTGTGAATTAATGATTAATTTGACACTATTTTATTTTTAATAAATATATTATTTTATGGATTATTACTCTATAGAAAGGAAGACCAATTCTCTTAGACAGTTATTTTGAGACTGCATTGTGTCAAACTGCGCCACCTGGTGGGGGGGCCTCACACTGCCCCAGTGCAATGATCGTCAATGACTTCGAGTTTAATATATATTTATATATATTCTGTACACCACTAGTAGGAGAGACCTTTTGGTTCAACGCGTGTTGGTTTTCATTGGGAGCAAAAACGGGAGTTGCCCATCTCTGATCTTAAACTACAGACAGTATTGCGCTGACAGTGCGTGTGTCTATACTTTTTGTAAAATGTAAACGGGTAATCTTTGTCGCTAAATCACCTGTGTTTTTCCCCCCCCATTTTTCACGACTCGGGCACATGTGAAATGCACCAGCTCCTCAGAGCCGCTACCATAGACTGTATATACCGCAACACGAGTCGGGGTGCGTTCACAGACTGTGGAATAATCCGTAGGAATTTTTTATTTCGGCGGATAAAAAGTGTGAGAATAAGGAGGGAGGAACTTTTTCTCGTTGCGTTTAAAAAGAGAAAACAGATTCCAACGTTCATAGTGATGTCTGAGTCTCATGACACTAAAATGAACTATTCAGTTCAAGTTTTTTTTAAAATGTGTTGCGTTTCGTTCAACGTTCATGAAATAATGAGCGTTGTTCCAATGAACGCGTTATTTTGAACTCGTTCTCGCAGAACACTGGAAACTTATTGGTTTTTCTTTTACTTACAGTGACTTGCGAAAGTATTCGGACCCCTTGAACCTTTCATACTTTTCGCCACATTTCAGGCTTCAAACATAAAGATATAAACATTTTAATTTTTTGTCAATGAATCAACAACAAGTGGGACATACAATCGTGAAGTGGAACGAAATGTACTTGGATATATGTTTATACTTTTTTTTAACAATAAAAAACTGGAAAAGTGGGGCGTGCTATATTATTCGGCCCCTTTACTTTCAGTGCAGCAAAATCTCACTCCAGTAGTTCAGTGAGGATCTTGGTATGATCCAATGGTGTCCTAAATGACTGATGACGATAAATAGAATTTTGGGGCCCCCACACCTGTGGGTATATCAAGTCTAAGTAGCAATGCCACATGCTCTTTGATAGTCTCAGGGTTCTGTTTAAAGCGCAGAGAGAACCTGGAAGTCAAAGGATACACACCAGGCAGTACGAGATAACTGTTGTGGAGAATTTAAAGCCTGATTTGGATACAAAAGATTTCCCAAGCTTTAAACTCTCTAGGGAGCACTGTGCAAGGCAAGTTATATTTGAAATGGAAGGAGTATCAGACCACTGCCAATCTACAAGACCCGGCGTCCCTCCAAACTTTCATCTCAAACAAGGAGAAGACTGATCTGAGATGCAGCCAAGATGACCATGATCATCTTGGATAAACTGCAGATATACTACATCTGAGGTGGGAGAGTCTGTCCATAGGACAACAATCAGTAGTGCTACTGCAAAATTTGGCCTTTATTGGAAGAGTGGACATTTCTCAAAGATATCAAATAAAAAGTTCTTAAAGTTGGCCACAAGCCACCTGGCGAGTCACACCAAACAGGATGAAGGTGCTTGGTCTCAGTGAAAACTAAATCCAAACTTTTTGGCACAAGGCAAAATCGATATCCATCCATCCAATCATCCATTTTCTTACCGAATTTATACGTTGCCCTGGGTCGCGGGGGCAGCAGTCTAAGCGAAGAGCCCAGATTCCTATCCTACACACTTCCTCCGCTTCGTTCCGGGGGGACCCAAGGCCGTGCCTAGGCCAGACTGAGTGACATAGGTCTCGCCAGGCGTGTCCTGGGTCTTCCCCGGAGGCCTCCTCCGGTCGGGGGACGGGCCCGGATACCACCTCCCAGGAAGGGTCCAGGGAGGCATCCTGAAAGATGCCCGAGCACAAACTCAACTGGTTTCTATCGAGTGGAGAAGCAGCGGGGCTATACTCCGAGCTCCTTCCAGTGTGACTGAGTTCCTAACCCTATCTCTAAGGGAGCGCCTGCACTCGCGGAGGAAGCTCATGTCGACCGCTTGTATCCCGCAGATCTCGCCCGTTCTTTCGGTAAGTACCCACAGACTCATGACCATGGTGAGGGAGGGAACGAAGATTTGACGGTAAATCGAGAGCTTTGCCTTCGGCTCAGCTCCCTCTTCACCACAACGGTCCGATTACTGAGACGCATCACTGCGCACGCTGCACCGATCCGCTGTCAATCCTCACGCTCCTTCCTTCCCTCATCGTGAACAAGACCCCAGTGATACTGAACTCCTCAACTTGAGGAAGGACCTCTCCACCCAACCTGGAGAGGGCAAGGCAACTTTTTAGGTCGAGCACCATGGCCTCGGATTGGGAGGTGCTGTTTTCTCATCCCATCCGCTTCGCACTCGGTGCAAACCGTACACAGTGCATGCTGCAGGTCCTGGTTCGTTGGAGACAGCAGGACGACATCATCCGCTAAAGTAGAGATGAATCCCCTTTTTTCCCCACCGCTCCCCATGTGGTTCCGAACCGGACCCCCTCCTGGCCCCTGGCTGCGCCTTGATATTCTGTACATAATTACAGAGAACCAGAACCGGTGAACAAAGTGCGCAGCCTTGGCGGAGGCCAACATGCAAGGGAAAAAAGGTATGATTAATGCCGGCAAAGCGAACACTCAGCTCTAACGGGTCTTACTGGGACGACGGCCCTCAGCAGTAGGACACCGGTCCCCGTATCCCAGAGGACCCCCCAAAGGACACCCCGGGGAACACGGTCGAACGCCTTCTCCAAATCCACAAAGCACATGTGGACAGGTTGGGAATCACCATGAACCCTCAGAGTTTCGATGGAGAGTATAGAGCTGGTCTGTGTTTCCTGCGAAAGGGACGAAAACCACACTGCTTCCTCCTGAATCCGAGATTTCGACCATGACGTAGCCTCCTCTCCATTACCTTGGAGTTGACTTACCGGGGAGGTGAGGAGGGTGATCCACCGAGATTTAGCCTAGTTTTAGCCATCTCTTTTGCCGCTAACGGAGCCCGTGGGGAGTAGCGCCACGATCTTTGCAGCAATTACATTTTCTAAACATTCCTCTTGCTCCGGCTTCAATTTCTTGATAGAACCAGAACGGATTTCTTTACAATCGCATTCTCCGCCATTTCCACAACCGGCCAATTCAGCGCAAACTCTTGACGTCACCCACATCTACCAACAAAACACGCCTCCCGCGGTCGCTGATTGGTCGGATGGGAGTCAACTAATGTAATTGCAGACACTGGGACTAGAACCAGACGGTACATGCAGGGAAATGATGATTGACCGGAGTTTACGGATGGCTAAGGCCAGGCTACTTACATACTAGTTTCTGAAGTTTGTTAGAGCCTTGTATAAGGGTTTGGGTTAGCTGCATTACCTTATAAGTGGGGCCCCAAAACAAATACATGTAAACAATTGTCATTTTATACCTTTATACATTCCTAAACACATTTCTAAAAAGTTTACCCATTCACACATACTACAGTTTAAGGTTGTACTCTTCAGTTCCTTTTCTTGTAGTGACAAACAACATTAGTACAACTCAAGCTTTCGTGACTGTTTTTTGCTCCTCAGCATTTGGGATCAAGGTGTTGTGTAATGTAGGAATAGTCGTAAATGGTCTTAAATGAGCACTTACCATTGCATAGTTTCTGAAGAGGCTGAAGTTGCTGGTTTTGTTGAGAAAATCCATCAGCGTAGGAGGGTCTGGGGGGATTTCGTTCAGAGCAGGAGTCAAAGCCTGAAGGGTGATGACAGAAGATGCAATAAAACAGGACAGAAATATGTAAGTAATATGTCATGCCTTCACAGCCCATACCTGGTCAATAATGTGTATGTACCCATTGGTGGCAGGAAGGTTGTGGATAGTTATGGTGGAATTTCCAATCTGGATCATCTGTAACAAAGGAATATGTACTCTGAACAAGAACAACTTGAAAAAAAAAGACTTGTTACATCTTTTTGTAGCGTATTTTTAAAGTAATACTAGTATTTTTGTCCATCAAAAATGATGGTGAGGCTATTTACTTTGCCATTTCATCTTTAAGAATGTGAAATTATATCTTCAGTAAAAGGGATTGTGATAGCTGTGGTGTTAAGAGGCTCACCCCAGTGCTGCTCCTGCTGACTTTCCATTGGGTCTGAGGATTCAGAGTGGGCACTTTGGATCCCACTAGTTTATCCAAGTCCTCCACAGAGTACACGCCAAGCAAGATGTGAGCACTGCAAAAGTCCAAAAGACCTCTTAGCGAGCAGCTCTCAGACACCTCAACAATAGTGCAGCAACATTTAGTCAAGGAAAATACAAATATTAAGATTCAGATTCATTTATTTTGCTATTTGCAGTAAAACCATATTGGGATACATCCGTAAAAGAGTTTGAAGATACAACAGAGGCAAACTAGCGACCTGGTAACTACGATCCTGTGGACGGTCTCCCCTGGCCCAGACTCACGGGCTGCACCCCCCCTCCCCGCTTGGGACCCGCCTCAGTCCTGCACCACTTGGGCTCAGTCCTGGTTCTACAGCCTGAGTACTTGATCTTGAGCCCGTAGATCCCTTTCTCAATGTGAGCCTCCCTGACGTTTCTAATATTTTCCCAGTGACAACCCCATTCAACAAACAAAAAAACAAGGAAAAACAATTGGTGCCAAAATAGTCAAGGTTCCCAAGTCTGTCACACTCATCGTCACATTCTACTAATATACTATACTAAGCCGGCCTTGATGTTTAATCATCGAACTGAATTTCTCCATCTGTGAGATAATAAAGTATTGATTGATTGATTGTTTGATTAAAGTAGGGGCTAGTAATGAGTGATAATGAGTCACTGATATATTTAAGAACTCACCGCAGCAAGTGAAGAGCACTGCGCTGCTTGTGCCAGAACATGAAGTGACTTTGCACAGAGGGAGCCAGCACGGTAATGTTCCCATAGAACTCTGCAGGAATATCTCTGCGTGTCTGTACACAGAAGGTTGGAAACAAAATACAGTTGATTGTCCTTAAAGTCCTTAAACTGGCAATACGTAGCTTGTCATGTCATTTTCATCCCCTTGATTATTTCATTTCTGGATCGGCGGGTGGCAATCAGAGCTGCCACCCAATACTCATAGCACCAGTCCCTCGCTGATGGTCCTGCAGGGGGTGGGTCCACGGGAAGATGGCCGCTGCGTCAACGCAGCCTTGGTGTTTCGGGCTTCGGGTTCAGGCTTCAGGCAAAGTGAGATAAGTGTCTTGTCATTATGTAACTTGTAAAGGTTTCTAACTAGCAAAGTATCTTTACTATAGACTTGTTGTTTAAAGAAGTCCTGTTTTACTGTTGACTTAATTTACCGTATATTGTCAATAGGTGGCATTCGGAAGGCGAGACCAAGGGTAATGCCGATACGACTCTTTTGGGAAAGAAAAATGTCCAAATGTTTTCCCAAATCATTGGGAAATTTGATAATGACGGTACATTCACAATTACAGAAATAATAGCTCTGTAATTCCTGAGCCAATTCAGGGGATAAAATCTGACTTTTGACAAATTAAGCCTGGTTCACGCGAGATGATTTTAAAATTGTCGGCCGATTTTTTTTCTCCGTGTGAGACCCCACACGCGGAGATAAAAACTCACGGGTCGAACCACTTTGGTCGTAAAGTGTGTGGTGCGCAGCCACACGACAAAATCACGCAAGCCATACACATCACACACGAACTGATTTCACCCCCGAGCATTCGCAGGTCACCGGAAATCTCACAACATCTCTCGAGATCAAGTGTGACTTTGTGCTGGCCTCTCTGCTTCACGCAGAGACTCTCGTCTGACCACAGCAGCCACAGACACCATGAGGACAAACACATACATGTGGATTTTACTGCTCTACAGTTCTCTGGCCCGTACTGTCTGTGCTGTTCAACAATACAGTTTGTACAGACTACCTGTGAACGCACCACACACACTGCTAGACATGAAACTTTACATACGTGCAAACCAACAAGCACGACTGCAGTAACGGCTGCATCAACACGTCTGTACTGTATTAGGACAGAGTGCAAAGTAAACGTACAAACACAACCATCAGTCTGATCATTTAGTACTAATCCCGTCAGAACAGGGCTGATGCCAACACATCCTGTGCAGCAGCAATTTCTGCCCAATTCCTCTCCTTGTCATTTCGGTGATGACTCTTTACACAACACGTCATACATTCATCCAACGGTGTTTCCTCGCCGGCTCGTCTTCTGATTGGCTACACTCTGCAGTCATGGCAACGCGCTCGTCTGTCCCCGGGGGACACCACACACGAAGAGAAATCGGGCCAAAACAATCCAACATGTTGGATATCCCCGATATTGAGATCGGAGCAGTCCAGAAGTCCTTCCGAGCGACGAGCACAGTCTTAACACACCACACACGGCAGGAAAATCCATCAGATTTTTTTAAACAATATTTGGAGCGTTCTTACGATTGTCGTAGGGGTAAATCGGGTCCAAAATCGGCCTAATTATCCTGCCGTGTGAACCAGGCTTTACCATTGTAAACAGGAAAAAATAAAATACAATGTTAAAATTGCTCTATGAAATGTTGACACACACACAAACATTCTTTTCCTTTGCTTCCACTCACCCATACAAAACTTCTGTAGAGATCAGACATTCTCCCCTGCATCATCTCCAACTCCTACAGACCAGAGCCAGAGAAGTATTTACAAACTTTATTAAATTCAAATGTAGAAAATTCAACATTGTGCACCTATGAATTAAATCTACCTCTATGACGGTGCCGTAGCAAGTAGTGCCGTTGCCATGGTAACCATCCGGACAAATACAGGAGGGGACCCTGCCCTCGAGTTGTTTACAAGTCGCCTGGCAATGAAAGAAAATAAAAGCTCATTGGCCCCTCGTTAGCATCTTTTATTGAGGAATAACACAGGTTTCCAGATGAGTTTTTGGGTTAGTCCAGTTTCAATCGGTGATTCTGGAACAGTCTTTGGTGAAGTGTCGCTCGCAGATAAATCAATTTGCCGTAGATTTTGAAGACAGATGCCTCCGAAGGTACATACCAAGTTTAAATAAAATGTCTAATGGTTTTTACTCAGTCATAATGTATACATAAAGGGTCCCATAATACACTTTTCAACTTTTCTTTGTTATAAACATCATTTTGAACTTTTCTTTGCTATAAACATCATTACTGTGCTTTTTGAGCTTCATACACATTGACCTTCATACTTCCCGAATCCTGCGAGGAACACAATCTGTTCGCTTCACATCGAGCTCTGTTGTTGCATTATAAGTCTTACAATTGACTACAAGTGTTAGGATAATTTCAACTTGGAGAAAATGTGTTTTCGAATGTAAATATATGACGACACTATTCGGCTTGCAAGATGGCCGCCACAATTTCCACACAACATAAACTATATAAGCCCCTGATGTGGCTCTGTGGATGCGCCTCTCTCTCATCTTCCCTCGAGCCTGTGTGCGTAACTATGGCAACACTTCACGCTACAAATCTCGCGAGTGAAGCAGAAATAGTACGGCTCCTTTATGATCCAGAAACAACATTACAAAAACCCATCAATATCGGCTCATCAGAGGGAAGAGTTTAATGGTTTTGATTATTTTATTTTTTCTGACGTGATTATGAATGATTTTAAAGACTGTCTTTTCAGCCGAGAAAAAGTCTAAAACTAAATTAGGGGAAATATCTAAAAATATATTTAGGGGCTGAATCTAAAAACAACTGTGTTTCTGTTTTTGATGAAGGAACAATGTTGTAACACGGTTAAAAGCTGAAAAAGATACATTTTGTATGATGTGTCTCAAATGCAACAAATCTCCCATGTGATCGGTCATGTGAAAAACAGCATTTAGTTCTAATACTAAACGTTAGTTACCAGCTCATGACATCCTCTGTTGTTCTCCCTGCAGGGGTTAAGGAGATCGCACACTTTTCCATTTCCAGAGTAGCCTCTTTTGCACACACACTCAGCCTGAAACACACAAACACCTTTACAAAGACATGACTACAGGAGTATAGCTAAATAAACTGGTAATAAATGACGTTAGCTTTGGACTGTAGATGTGTTGAGCGCTGTTGGTAAGGCAAGCTGGAGTTTTCCTCGCGAACCCTTATATATAATATATATATATATATATATATATATATATATATATATATATATATATATATATATATATATATGTGGCTCAAATCTGGATTTTATCTGGATTTTTCAAAATATAAAGCAAGGCAGGTTTATGTATAGAGCACCATTCAAAGTAACAAAGGGAACTCAAAGTGCTGAACAAAACAAGATAGAGACAAAATAAATAATCACCGTACATCTAAATGAGTAAAGATAAAATCCTTCCTGACTAAACTCCAGGATCATAGAGATTCTTTGAGCCCAAATTGGTGAGTGTGACACAAACAGTAACTGAGCTAGTTTACTTTTGAATACAAGTCAATAGGAGCCAGAGTGAGTTGAAGCAAAACTTTGTCTTTGAGCACATCCCTATTGGGTTTCATTGAGGAAAGGCGGGTCGCAAAGTCCAACAATATACAGTCTATGGCGGGGGGTCTCCAACCTATAGCTCAGGAGCCATCAGTAGCTCCCCAACAGATTTTTAGAAAGAAACAAATTTGATAATGTACTGAGTATTTCTATTCAATTATTCTCTTTCTAACATCGGTTGTAAATTCAAACTCATTGCGTGACCTAGTAACAAATATTTGATCATAAACCACTGGCGCTCACAAATTTATCAACTCAACGTTTTCCCAGGACGGCATAAAGAAGTAGCTCTCAGGCCATTTTTGTCTGGAGAAAGTAGCTTTCTGGGGGAAAAGGTTGGAGGCCCCTGGTCTATGGCTTTGACCGTTCTTTTCCCACTACAGCGTCAGTGAGTGCACCTGAGCGGGGCCGACGTGGGTGCAGGTGGCGTAGGGGCTGCAGCCTCCTCTGGATTCACTTTGACAGAGGTTGATCTCCACACAGACTTTTCCATCGCCGCTCCATCCTTTAGCACAGACGCAAGAGGAATTACCCGGGCTATTGTAGACACACTCAGCCTAGAAAAGAGAGCGCCAGTGTTACATTGGACCTGGTGAGATTTGCATAGGCACCAAAAGCAAAGAGGTGGGACCCAAATCAGATCAATCAAATGGATTTGGCTTGAATTTGATTGTTCAAGCCTGTTCCTCATCAAAAACAGACCTGGAGTTGTTTTTAGATCCCAAATTGATAGTCCTCAGAGATAACTATAAAGATTACATTGAATTGAATAAATATCATGAACTCCTGGTCAGATTATGTAACTCTGTCTCTTCTGTCTAAAAGCTCCTGTTTGAGTCCTTCACAACAACAACACCTCCCTCCCATGGGAGTTACAGGCATTTTTTACCCTTCATAATTGTTTACCCGTGTATTTTCTACTTAAAATAATAATTTATTTTGTAAAACATAGAATGATATAGTAATCATTTCATTTTTAAAACCAATACATAATATGTATTCTTTATAATCAAGATGAAGAACGTTTTGTATGAACTAATAAGGAGTTCTTTTGCAAAATTGGTCAAAAAATGTAATTCCTTTGGGTGCAATCTTCAACATGATCAGTAAATTTGAAAGGATTTGCTCAAGAAGGGGGTAAAACTAAAATAGATACGGATTTTGCAAAACATTACTTGGTGAAGGGAAACTTGTGACTTGTGCCTTTTCAAATATTTGTCAAAGGCAGTTGTCGTTTTTAGTCAAATTAACTTTTCAAATTGTGATACTACTTAATCCTGGGGCTCTGCTGCAGACACACACCTGTCACTTTCAACGTTTCCAAACACACAGAACTGCTCACGTTTACGTCACAGTCGCCGCGGCTGCTCTTGACGCAGGGGTTGATGGGAGAACACGAGTGACCGTCTCCTTCATATCCATCTCGACAGGTACAACTGTAAAAAACCTCAGCTGTGGTTATTGTGTTTTAAATCAGAAGAGATTGGCTCAATTTCATGAATCATCTCTTTCTGCTTTTTGTTTTGTAATTGTTTGACATATCCTGATTATGGATCATTATAATCAATTAACATTTATCTGTAAAGCAGATTTAAAAACAGTCTGGGTTAAACAAAGTGCTGTAAGCAACACTAAAAATACAACAAATATGTTCATAAATAAAAACAAAAACTTCTCTTGCTACCTGGCGTTAAAGGCCAAAGAGAAAAGTTGCGTCTTAAAGATAATCTAAACCCCAGTGCCCAGCCTTACTCCATCCACATGAAAATTATCTCTAATTTTGCTCGGCAGACCGGGGGACCAGAAGGGGGACTTAGAGTGGACACGCTTTCTGTTTGATGAGACTCCGAAAGGCTGTTCTGTTATTACCATAAATAAAACGCGTACCGTCTTTTTCCCTGATGCGGGCCGCTTTACCATGCAGCTAAAAGAAGCGGGCCACTTTACCATGGAGCTGCGTTAATATTCACAGTCTATGGGTAGCGCAGAGCAACGGAGGTCACATTGCACAAAGTGACATCACAAAGCCACCAGAACTGGAGAGGCCAGGCACGAGATTCAAATGTAGTACCACCAAAAATGTAGAGAGGGCGCCACACAGACAGTTTTAGGCTCAAAAGTGAGATTTTATATAATTTTCACTATAGCGAGCACTATAAGAAACATATTTATGTAGTTTATATGTTAAAAAAAAGTTGATTTGGTGCTTAGGGGTTTTATGTTCTGGAAAGATTGTGCAGTTCTAATGTGCAAAGGTTTCACAGCTGTGGTCCTCTCACAGAGAAGGCCCTGTCTCCTCTCGAAATGTTAAGTGCGTTTGTTTTTTTCACACCCAGCTCGTGTGTGTTTGAGTCCTACACAGTGTCGACGCCGCTGTAGCTGCACACCGCGTGGATGTGGCAGTGCTCCATCAGCCCGTCTGAGTTACACGCCATCTTTTGTTTGTCACAGAAATCTCCGGAGAATCCTTCCGAACACGGGCCGAAACGACAGCGCCCCCGACTGCCAGGACGATTATCACATACGCCATGGACACACCGGCATTCTGCAAGGAAACCATTTTGCTTTAAGGTAGAAAGGTGTTTTAATAATAATAATAATACATCAATCTTCAAGCTTTTTTGGACTCTGAAAGACGCTTTACAAAACATTGAATAAAAATAGAAGAGCAAAATTAAGGAAAGGCAAAGTGAAATAGTTGGGTGATGACTTGACTCTGGGGTGGATTCTTCTGCCACCAAACAAGTGTCAGTATTACTCAACTTTCTCATTTCCTTTTAACCATCACTCACAATTGTCTTTTTTTGTCAGGCCAGCCCGAGGGTCAAGACGGCATTATATTCACCAGGAGAGTCCACTGGTCCCAAAGACTCAGAAGAGAGAAACAGACACTGTCGCACATTATGATTCTACTTCAGTGTTGTATTTCCCGCTTTGTTATTATTTAGAGTTACTCTTCTTGTTTTTTGTTTTGGGTGGGGGTTTTCTTTTAGGTTGTTTACTTTAGTTGGCTACAAATATTTGTTAAATTGTTTATATTTTTGTTAAATTATACTTTTTTCTGCATGAAATTTTAGATTATACACCTTGTGCCTTGCCTTATGTTTGGTTCACTACAGAATGAGTTAAAACTTAAGTAAACGTAAGTACAGTAGAGAGACCAGAGGTTGTAAGGTTCATAATAAATGAAAAAATACATTTCAAATGAATGTGTAACCTGGTTGTTAGAGCAGTGTTTTTTCATGGAACAAAACTGTAAAATTCTACTATCACCTTCATCGCAGTTCTCTCCGTGTTTGCGGTGGTCTGAACAGAGGTGACAGGCCACGCCCTTAAAGCCCGGCCGACAGGAGCACGATCCATCCCCATTCATGCCATCAGAGCACTGTGGGAGAATCATACTTTAATGTCATTCAATTTATCAGTACAGATACGAGTCTTAAGTTTAACAAAAAGACTTGACAGGTAATGGCTCTTGAGTCTCACCGTTCCGTTGCCAAAGCATGGATTTTCAAAGCCTCCAATGCAGGGCTTGCAGTCTGGCCCATAGAATCCTTTACAGCACTCTGCCACCTGCAAAGAGACATCATCAGATTCAGTGTGATTTGTCACAATTTAATATAGCACAGATCATAAAGGGGTCATTGTAATTTGTGATTTGTATACTATACTATTATAGTAATAGACTAGTATTTAAATACAATAATGATAATGTACTGGTCACGTTTCTACAGAGTAAAAGCACCAACATTTTTGAAGTGTAAATGTTTTATATATACTGTTGTATTTATAAATACGTGACACACTAAAACCATGTGTTTTATGACCTATCGACCTCTGGGTGGGAGGCCAGGCCTTTTTATATATTTTAGGTGTCTTCTTGTGGGATCAACTAAACAACAGATGGTTTCTGCTGTTTGGATTTGTCCCCTAGTCCTGACTTCTGCATTCTTCACCTCACTCAATCAGGAATAAGTTGACATGACTAGAGTCTCCTAGTCTACTCATTAGTCGATATGATAATACATATAACCTTTCTTAACATATATTTACTTCATATTTTAGGTGATTTCATGTACTTAGGTATTAGGTTAATTAGTGTGATGTGTTTTGTACTGCAATAGGTTTGTTCTTTAGGAAAGCGGGCTGTGGAGACTAATTAGGGGAGTTGTTTAGACAAGAGATGGATCTCAGACCGGTGACAGCTGCCTGGAGACTATAAGCAATAAAATCTATAGATTGGGGAGGGGTAGTGTGTGTGAATGATTCTGTTTAGGTGCGGAATGGAGACGAGGAAACCAGATGGTGCGAAGGCGGATCACGGGACCGGAAGCTGCCTGATACCACGCCCCTTCTTCCTGCACATTTACTTATAGTGAATAGCTTGAATGTGTGGAGTTAGAGTTTTTTACCGGACCAGGGACAGTAGTGTGACTTGGCGTGGAGCGCCCACCTAAAGTTATACTTTTATACTTTATATAGAGAATAAGGGATAGTTACTTTTGGTCCGGACAGCTGTTTTAGATTCTTTTTGTATTAGGGAAATAAACCTTTTTGAATTTAACTTTCTGAATCTTGGTCATCTTTATAAGGGATTTTGAACACGTCATTTTTTAATACGATAATACATACACACATTTGGAGCAAAGTAAGAAGTAGTAATCTTTATTTATATAGCTCCTTTCACAGACCAGAGTCACAAAGCGGTTTACAATTGTGGGCATTTGTCTCCCACTCCACACAGAGATCGGAGCGGGGCCAGTACAGGAGGCGCATGCTAGACCTATTGTACACGTGTTTAGTGGTTGGGGAAACCGGAGTACCCGGAGGAAACCTACGCAGACACAGGGAGAACATGCAAACTCCACTCAGAAAGACCCTGTTCCGACCGGGATTCGAACCCAGGACTTTCTTGCTGAGAAGTGAGAGTGCTATCCACTCAGCCACCGTGCCGCCCAAAGCAGCAGAAGTTACAAATGACAGAATAATTTATATATACTGTATATACTATATACAGACAATCCCAACAGAGCCAACAGAACAGCAATAACAACGTCAGGGTCTCACCGTTTTTGTTGTGTTGCAGTATTTGGCGCAGCCTTTGCCTGGCATGGCTTGAAAGGGGGAGAAGATCATATACTCGCATCCAGTCAAGTGGTTCTCCTTAAAGAAGACAATTATAGAAAGCTGTTTTGAGTGCACCAGAAAGGTCAATAAAATACAGGAGGGTACCATCTCTACACTTCCCACAGGACAGCTGGTCTCAAACAGGTAACTGCAGCGAGTACATGGGCCCTGAAAGCACAAATATGAATTCACCTTTTGTTTATTTAAGTCTGAAATAATAAATATTATGCATTATTTTTGGGCATGAAACATGATAATGAGACTATATACTGTGTTCAGATGTAGAAATAAAATCTTAAGCAGATGATATATGGTGAAATAAGTATGAAGTGCAAAAGTTGCTTTCCACACGTAACTCCCTATGCTACCACCACAGGGAGAGGTCAAGTATTTTTTTCTCCAAATTTGAAAATGATTGCAAACAGGGCCATGTGATTGTAACAAACCTCAATTCACTGCAAGGAGACCAATTCATGCAAACTCAGAGGTTCCAGTACCCACTTGGAAAAATGGGAATTAACGCTGCTCAACTCGAGAATTCACCACAAAATCTCAGGTTTGGTCGATGGATGGTGTCGGAGTTTGCATCACTGTGATACTGTGATTGTGATTAGATGGAAGGAACAAATTTAAGGACAAACTATTTAAAATTCCACTTCCAAATAAAAAAATTGTGGCCACAAAAAAGTTTTCAGAAATATTTAGGATTGTATCTAAAAGCACTTCTTTATTTTAACAAATTTCTCATGTCAAAACATTGATGGTTTCTGTGTGTTTCTCATGAACGAGCAAAGAGAATCCAGGTACATTTCTGCACATATTGTATTGTAGTTGTCGTTGCTGCTCGTGTGTCTGTGTGTGTCTGTGTGTCTGTGGTCTGTGTGTGTCTGTGTCTGTGTGTGTGTGTGTTACCATCATCCCCAGCTCCTCATGAACGCTCTGATTTCAGGAAGTTGGATGACTACGTAGAGATTGCATGAAAGCGGCATGAGGCAGAAGGAGCGGAGTTATCTAAAAACAACTCTAGGTCTGTCTTTGAGGAGGGAACAATGTTGTAACATAGTTGATTTTGCATCATGTCTTATCTTTAAGGTTCATACAAATTCATTTAGTGCCCCTGCGTCCTACAGACTTTAGTCTACCATTTCAAAACAAACAAGATCATAGCTAGACCCACCACAGTGATCTTGTTCTCAACAATATCGCAACGGTGGGGCATTATGGGGACGATCGTTGGAGGAATCAACAGTCCGTCAATCATATGGATGATCCCATTAGAGGCCATGATGTTGGAGCTGACAATGTGGATGCCCTTATCCCCGAGCACCAACTGGCCCTGTGAGATAAGAAGTTAATTTGAGTTAGCAATCACCTCCCAAGTCATTCATTTACATTTATAATATACTAAATCTGCAACATAATCCCACTAATTCCTATGTTGTTCTATTTACCTACAGTTCAGCATGGAGCATGTTGTAAATTGTGCAGTATGTTTCGAGCCAATTATCTATTCAGATCTTTCGTCAAATGTTATCACTGGTCTGAGAGGGATGGTGCCTTTTATCACCACTTGGTACTCCCAATTGTCTCCCATCCCATTACTTACCGGGCCAAACCCTGCTTCTGAGATCAGGCGACAGCAACAGAGCTATGGTTGCGTAATTTATGAATTACCCCTCATTAATGTGTCTTTTTATTTGTGTGTGTGTGTGTGTGTGTGTGTGTGTGTGTGTGTGTGTGTGTGTGTGTGTGTGTGTGTGTGTGTGTGTGCACTTGTTTTCAACTCCTAGTGGGTTCCATAACCTGAGATTCCACTCACGTCATGGGGACTGGTTTTACGTGGTGGGGCCCGAACACCGGACCCCACTGGTCCAAGCTTAATAATCAATGGGTAATGCTTTTCTAACGGTCCTTATGCAGTCTCTGTAAAAATATGGAAAGGACCCCTGGAGGTTTACTTTCCTGAAAAAAGTGTGTTATGTGTCGGAACCCTGGTGGTGGGTTGCGGGATATCAAGGAGGGGCACACTGGGGCAATTTCAGTCCAGCAGGCTGGAGCCAATCATGGAGCAGCACAACAAAGGAAATCAGGTGTCAGGCTAGAAAAAGGTGCAAGTGTGTGGTTCATTAGGCTGCAAGAAATCATGGAGGAGCACACTGAAGCGCACGCTTACAAACCACTGGTAAGTGCTGACTACAAGTCATGACTTCAAATTGTTATATAGAATGATTACAAATTATTTGTTGTTTGTGCAGCTTAGTCAAGAGTCCCTAATTGATGAAGTCGACTCAGATTCTGACGATTTAACTGTCAAGAAGAAACCTGTAAAAAAGTATGGAAAAAGAAAAATCAAAAACACTTTTCTTCAAGACTCGGAAAGTGACGAACCAAAGGCAAATAAGATTGTTATCATGCAGCTGCAAAAGAAGAAAAATGGGGGGCGAGTATACAGCAAGAGACACTTCTGCCTCTACTGTTCAATGTCCTGCCACAAAATGTCCCGTCATTTGACTAGAAAACATGGAAATGAAAGTGACGTAGCCAGAGCATTGGCTCTACCTGTGAAGTCTAAAGCACGTAAACTTCAGTTTGATTTGATCAGGAATAGTGGAAACCGTGAGCACAATTTTGAGGTTTTAAAGGCCGGCATTGGAACTTTAGTCCCAGCTAAACAGCCAAATTCCCCAGTTAAATCCAGTGAGTTTTTGCACTGTATAGACTGTGGGGCATTGCTTAAGCGAAAGTCGCTGTGGAGGCATGTGGCCAGGTGCCGGCTTTCACAGAAAGATGCCCAGGCTAAACCAGGTAGAAGTAGGGTCCAGTCCCTCTGCTCCCTAGCCCAGCCTGTACCGGAGGGCATCAGCAAAAAGCTGTGGTCTTTAATTTCGGCAATGCATCAGGATGAGGTCACGGGTGTTGTCAAAGCAGAAAAGGGGATTCTGAGACTCGGAGAGCACCTGTACTTAAAACACGGGCATGATAAGACTAAGCATGATTACATTAGGCAGAAAATGAGAGAAGTCGGTAGGTTAATTAACGAAGCAAAAACCGCAGGGAAACTGAAAACAATTAAGGATTTCTTTATTCCTTCCAACTTTAACCATGTGATTGATGCAGTCAGGTCTGTGGCTGGATATGATGAGGAAACAAATCAATACAAGACTCCATCCTTGGCCCTCAAACTCGGCCATAGCCTCAGAAAGCTAGCAGATATTCTTGAATGTGACTCAAAAATGGAGCATTGTGTTGATGAACTATTTATTAAAAACCTCCAACGAAGCCGGCTGCTTTTTGAGAAGAGGTGGGACGTCTGTGTTTCTTCTGCTGCCCTACAGAGCCCTCCGGCAAGCCAAGTGGAACACTCCGGACCTGCTCCCTCTGACTGAGGACGTTAGAGCCATGCATGCACATATTGAGGTATGTCGACCTGAATATGTGCAAACCCTAATAAGTGAGCCAACGTCTAAGCATTGGTCTAAACTGGCAGTTTTGACTCTTTGTGAGGTCATCATTTTCAATCGAAGAAGGGAAGGTGAGGTTTCAAAGATGCCACTGACAGCCTTTACCTTAAGAAGTAAGACTGGGATCCATTCTGACATTGCTCTGGGACTGTCCCAACTTGAGAAAAAGCTGTGTCAGCATTTTCAACGCATTGAAATTAAAGGGAAAAGAAGTCGGAAAGTGCCGGTTCTTTTGACTCCTGAAATGATTGCTTCGATGGAGGTGCTGGTGGAGAACAGAAGGGCCTGTTCCATCTCTGACCATAACCCATACTTCTTTTCCCGCCCGGGCGCAGACACCCACATCAGGGGATCAGACTCCCTACGCCAGGTAGCCAAAGAATGTGGTGCGGTGCATCCAGAGATGCTATCCTCAACCAAACTTAGAAAGCACATAGCTACTATGTCTACAGTTCTCAATATGAAAGAGAATGAGATGGACATACTTGCCAACTTCCTCGGCCATGACATTCGCATCCACAGGCAATATTACAGACTACCAGAGGGGACACTGGAGCTGGCCAAAATCAGCAAAGTGTTGATGGCCATGGAGCAGGGAAGAGTGACGGAATTCGAAGGAAAGAGCCTCGACCAGATACAAATTGAGCCTGAAGGTAATTCTTGATATTATTAAAATATGTATGATTTTTTTCCCCTAAAGGCCACTTGTATTTTTATTTTCTGTGCGACAGGGAGAGCAGTAGAGATCCTCTCACAAACGGACGGGCTAAAAGAAACTTCAAGCGGAGAACCTTCAACCATTCATCCAGATGCACCCCATGGTAGTGGCAGTGCCCCTTCTGGTAAGTGTACCAGGTGGGGGATTACAGCCAGGCTGCTTGGTCCTAACCCTGGGAGTGTATATTGCTAATATATTTTTATTTCTCTCCCTAGAACGTGTAAGAAAGCCATGGTCTGCATCTGAGGTGAAGGCTGTGGAGAAGACCATGACACCTTTCATACAGACTGGAAAGGTCCCTGGGAAGTCTCACTGCCTGGCCTGCATTAATGCCTCACCAGATGACCTTAGACATCGGACATGGAGTGGCATTAAATTCTATGTCAAAAATAGAATCACTGCAATTCGAAAACAAAATCTAAAATAAAATTCCTTTAAAATAGTTGTTTGGTTTCTATTGACTGTTTTGTATTACTTAAAGTAGTCCCAGTAAAAAAAGACCAGAGAGAGACCAGAGAGAGACCAGAGAGAGAGACCAGAGAGAGACCAGAGAGAGACCAGAGAGAGAGACCAGAGAGAGACCAGAGAGAGACCAGAGAGAGACCAGAGAGAGACCAGAGAGAGACCAGAGAGAGACCAGAGAGAGACCAGAGAGAGACCAGAGAGAGACCAGAGAGAGAGACCAGAGAGAGACCAGAGAGAGACCAGAGAGAGACCAGAGAGAGACCAGAGAGAGACCAGAGAGAGACCAGAGAGAGACCAGAGAGAGACCAGAGAGAGACCAGAGAGAGACCAGAGAGAGACCA